CCGACAAGGACACATTGGCTTCCTCACCATCATCGATGCTGCTACCAGAGCCTTATGGACCTTCCCAATTAAATCCAAAGAACCCCCAATCGCCATTATTGACCAGTTCCTATCGAAACATGGGATTAAGTTAACTGATCCTAATAAAGCGGTTATCACAACAACGAACGACGGATACCTTGCAAGATCCAAAACTTTCAACAAGACAGTCAACACCCATGCCTATACAGTACAACCAGAGGAACAGTCATGCTTCTTGGATCTCCTACCAGAACACCTAGACTGTACTATTATGACCGATGGAGGTGGCGAACTGGCAAACTCAAAACAGTTCCGTGAAACCGCATCTAAACATGGTTACACTTCACTCTCCACAGCAGCAGATGCATCCTCCCAAAATGGATTAGTGGAACACCCTCACCGTACACTAAAGGAACGCATAAGGTGCCTCCTATATGCTGCCGGCCTGGGTACAGAGTACTGGACAGATGCACTCCTCCATGCAACGTGGCTATACAATTGTACATATCACAATGCTATAGGAATGACACCCCTCCAACTGTATACAGGAAGGATTCCCCTAATGGACAACCTCATCACCTTTGGAGCTAAAATTACAGCGAAAAGACCGGGCACACGACCAACTACTACACATCCATGGGCATATGATGGCATCTTTCTTGGTTATGGACAGACTAAAGATAACATCAAATACTTTGATATCCACACAGGAACGGATAAAACAGCTCGGCATGATTCCAAAGATGAACTGCAGTATGGGGACGACCCAGAAAACAGATCCCCAGCGGCAGCACATCTCCTGGAGACATACACGGAAGGAAACCACAAGGATCACAGTACTAACAGCTCACCAGAACCAATCACAATAGAATTCAAGGACCCACGACGGCGAGATCCAAGCAATATCGTTGACGAAATAATAAAGGAATCCCCAGTCCCATACACTGCCGCGGCAGCGGCTAAAGTTAAGGCTATGATAAACAGAACCAAATTTGAACGCCCTGATATTCAAACCCTCATACCAGAACTGGAGACCTTGGATATCTCAACCAACATCTATACTCGAGAGATTTCCCACATGCTTCCGCTTCAAACCACTTCTTCCATTCATCCTACAATGGGATTTATTGTTACACCCCATCCTGATATCACGAATGCTGTTGAACTGACCTCTATACAGGTTGGAACAATTGCACATACATGGATTTGTGGCTGGAAACAAGGACTAAGAGGTTCAATCCTCACCAAAGTCGATGATAAGCCCATATCTAACAGCCAGGATATCATACAGGCGATACAGCAAGCTAAAACCTCACACCGGGCCACCATTAAGTTCACATTTGGCAAACTCACTGGCTTTGCCTTGAATGGTGAGGGGGTCCCAACCTTACAGGCAGACCAGCTTAATGTTATTGCTCACCACCTCCATTCACTTAACTTCAACCAGGACCTTTGGCGAGACAAGACTGATTGGCCAGAACCAATAGACTCACCTGAAATAGCTGCAACACAAGCAGAAATTACTAAACTCACACGCCAAAAGCTCAGAGATACTCCTCAATGGGATGGATTCCTACAGTCGGAATGGAAGCAGCTGAATCGATATCATAAGGTGGGGATGTTTGGTGATCCAGTTAAAGCAACCGAAAACATGACAATACTCCCCTGGGTCTGGACATATATAGAAAAAGAGAACCCACTCACTGGCATTGATGAACCAAAATCAAGGGGCACATGCAATGGAGGCAAACGATATGGTAAAGCTGTCACACTAGCGGAGACCTATGCCGCCTGTGTTGAACAACCAATACATAGATTAACATGGGCCCTTGCGGCAGCCCTTAACCTAATTTGTGTCGGTTATGATGTTGGAAATGCTTTTGCTGAGGCCCCACCACCGAAATCACCCTTCTATATGAAGGTAGATGCACCGTTTCAACAATGGTGGACTGACTGCCTCAACAAAGACCCTATACCAGATGACTGTGTTATCCCTATTCAAAAAGCCCTCCAGGGACACCCGGAGGCCCCTCGCCTATGGGATAAGTATATATCCAAGATACTGATCCAGGACCTCGGCTTTAAACCCACCACACATGAACCATGCCTCTACTATAAACATGATCATACAGGACTCACTCTCATACTGCGACAAGTGGATGATTTCCTTATAGCAAATGCAGACACAAACGTATGCGATCGAGTCCGTGCAGATATACAGGATCGAATGACTAACCCCCTCAATATACTGGGCACTATTAGAAAATTCAATGGGATACATGTGAAGCAAACACGGCACTATAACCACTTACATTGCAGTTCTTACATTGAAAAGATTGCTGAACATCATGGTTGGACTAACTCGACAACAAAACACATCCGGAAACGCCCTACACCGATGCGGGAATCACCATCCTACCAAAAGGATATACAACTTAGTAGTGGACCTACCGATCCCGTAGAGGCCAAAATACTGCAACAGCAGATGGGATTCAACTACCGACAATGTATAGGGGAACTGATATATGCCCTAACAATCTGTAGAATAGACATATCCATCGCGGTGATCACCTTGAGCCAACACTCCCACAACCCAGCTAAAATCCACTACCAAGCAGTTAAACACCTTTTCCTATACCTCCTGGCTACCAAAGAAGAAGGWYTCACCTACTGGAGACCAGAACCACGTCCAGATCTTCCCCTCCTTCCTTTTCCAACCCCTCACTCAAAGCCAGAAACACTAACAAAATTCTACCAATCTMTTGAACCCCTCCAAATCCATGGAGCATGTGATACTACATGGGCCTCAGATAGGCTCCAATGCCGATCTATGGGGGGTGTAATTATGATGCTTGCAGGCGCAGCAATATACTATCGAACACGCCTTCAACCACCAACCATAGCACAGAGCTCAACAGAGGCTGAATTCACTAACATGGCAGATGYAGGCAAAGCTGCTTTATATCTAAGATGGATACTTGAGGAACTAAAACTCCCMCAAACATCCCCAACACCAATATTGGCAGATAATCATGGTGCGGTTAGAATGGCCAATGCTCACCAACCAACCAGAAGAACACGCCATGTGGAAATGAAACACTTTGTTATACTACAATGGACAGATGATGAACACATTAACTTCATAGAAACAAAATCCGATGAGAACTACAGTGACTCACTGAGCAAACCTACAGGAAGAACTAAATTCCTTCAACACACTGATATCTTTATGGGAAGAATCAAACCAGAATATACGAATTTAACACTGAATACAACAACAACACAACACGATCGGGCTGATTCAACGCCAATGGCACCACTAACAGCAGTTAACACCAGCACACCACGGAAGCATCACGTATTTTGCTCCACTTGCAGTCTAAATCCTCTACAAGATCTACTACGTAACAGTAGATCTTCCACGTACGAGGATTTTTATCCTGCAAGTGCGGGGTGGTGTGAGGCTCAATCCCGAATAGATAGTGAATAAACTCACTCTTTATTGTAAACACGTAGTTATGCAACACTAAAGAGCACACGTACATTTTGCAAACTCACCTTTTCGAGGAATGCGGATCGCCACCACAAGCTCCGCACCTCTTGGGCTGTCTTGCCACTGAGCAAAAAGGTTTTATTTGAAGGTATGAACTTTTGCTTTTACATCATGAACCACTGAGCCGTTGTCGGATTGATTACCCAGGGTCGTTCAATCATGAATCAGGCCTTGCAATCATGAATTGCCATCAAGTCATTTCCAAAAACTAGCTCAGTAGAATATAATAGAATTTCTACTAGGACATTTTAAGTTCTTAACTTCAAATTAAAACTTTTTGCTCACTGGTGAGACCAGTTTCAATTGATATGAAACTTGTTGTAGTAACGCCAACTGTAGTGAAGGTTTCCCATAAAAACTGGTAAGAAGCTTTTTCAATGTTGAAAGGGCCTTTCCTTCCAGTTTATTTTTTTACAATAAAATAGTTTCCTGTACACCTGGTGAAACAAAGGTGAACAAAAAAGGGCATCATTCTCATCATTTCTTGTTGATAACAAAGAAAAATTAAGAGAATAGTAGTGCCTCTCTTTGTTTCTCTTTGTTGTTTTTCATACTAGTCTAARCAAGTAGAAACACAGCAGAAAGTGCTGCCCGTGTATCATGTAATGGGTACGATTCATATCCATGATACACACATTTGACACAGCATATTTGCGATTCATACACACTCTGTATTCACAACTTATTTGATCCTATGGATCCTCACAATTGACTTGACTCATTCAATGCACATGCATCACTTGATCCTCACTTTGATCAATCTTAGATTTCATACTAGTTCGCATCGACTCAATTTTCTTCTAGCACTCAATTTACATCACTAATAGTTATGACACCCTTACAATAAAAATCATCGCCACCATGACATTATTTTAGGTGTGCTATCTCCTTACACAACTCTACCACATAAAACCACCCATGAGCCTTTGTAAAACCAAACTGGTGTCCTCACCAACACACTGCAACAACTACCAACTGCCATTGCACATACAATGCGACAACTACAACTTTCATACTGACAATCACTGACTGATAGCAGATTCTTGTACTACTAGCCACTACTAGTAGCAGGAGAGGAGTGTAAAAGGAAAGGAATGATATTCAGTACAGAAAGCAACTCAATTAAAAATTACTAGTGTTTTTTCTTTTTTGATGTCACAGTGGCACTGGGAAAGTTCTTTGAAAAATAAGACCAGCATGATTAGAATGGTTTCAAATGAAAACAACACCAACAAGTTTTGCTGTGAGTCAACGAGAAATATTCCCTTGCTCATAGTAGCCTACACATCACAATTTTTCTTCATTGGTCTAGAGAGAGTTGGAATCTGTATATCGGAGCTATTTCAAATTTGGACAGTTTCTGCTACTAATCATAATTGTTGAAACTTGTCTCATGCAAAAATCACTGAATGTCTCTTGCACAAATTAGAACGTGATGCGTTGATTCCAAATTGCGCTATATTTGCTGCTGTTTACTATCATCTGATTTCAAGCTTGAGTCTATTGTGTAAACACGATTACAATCAAATTGGAAATTCATAGCAGAAACTTTAATACCCCCGTGGAACGTTTTGAAGGATGTTTTGAAGGGAAAAGATGCCCCAGTCCTCGACCAGAGCCCCGGGTTGTCGGTCAAAATAATACCACATAATCTACGCTTGTATTTCTGAGACAAGCATTCCACGTACTTTCCCAAGCTTTGGTACAATGGCAACAATCCCTTCGTTGATGATGTTGACTTGGAAGATACCCGTTTTCCGAACGGAGGGTTCGTTACGATTAGCAAAGAGTGCGGGGCTTCGGAAGGTGTTCCAAACCATCTTTGATCTGAAAGAGGTGCATTTTCAACATGTATAGCTTCTAAAACTCCTGCCCTCTCGGCGTTCGCCTTTGTGGCTTCCACGGCCCCAGAATCCCGATCGGAGGCCGAGATGGAAAATGAATTATCGCCAAGTTCATGTTTTTTCACAGCAGCAGCAGCAATGCTTTGTTGTACTTCGGTCGACCATTTTTTTGAGTTTTGCAACAGCGTACCTCGAAATGGGCTATGATATCTAAATCTACCGGGAGGCAAGCCTAGCATCATTGCGGCACCTTCAATAGCGATGGTGCCGGAACCACAAAAGGGATCAACGAGACCCTGCCACTCGTTGTCTTGAGTGGTTTCGTTGCCAAGACTCCATGAAGGTTTCCAGCCGGCTGTTAGCAACATAGAAAATGCTATGTCTTCTCGGAGTGGTGCCTTGGCAAGCTGTTGTCTGTAACCACGTTCATGCAAGGGCAGAGGGAAGGCGTTGAGAAAGATCTCAACGTGATCATAAGAAACGTGCACATCCAAAAGCACTGCTGGAAAACTATCATGAGCAGGTCTATCTTTTATCTTCGAGGCTTTGTGGCTTTTTCCCTTTCTTCGTCCGTGTTTTGTTCCAAATGTCTCGTTTGGCAGTCCAAAATGGTGATTGATGCTCTGTAGGATACGTTCCCGAATGGCACCTGTGTGGTATAATTTGCTCTTCGACGATACAACCCGCACATCGATGGTGCCGTTCGTGACGGAATCTACGCTACAGATCTCGTTCCACGGAACCTTAGCCGTTTTGCGCTTTAGCTCGGGTAGTCCACGTGCCGAAAACGACGCAAGCCGCAAGCGAACTTGGGAGGCGCTTCCTAGATACAAGCAGCACCGAAACAGATCATCGATGGTCGAATAGTCCTTATGAAGACGGATTTTCCCAGCTTTCTTCTTCGTCTTCGATGACGGCGCATGGTGCTGTATACCAAGCATTTGCAACTCCGAAGACAAGATGAATTCCAGTCCCGGTAGACATGTCACGATGGCTTGATCAAAAAGAGGACTAGAACCAGCATGACTGCCCGGCGAGAAACTCAACCGCTTCGGATTTGGTCGACGAAGAGAAGACAATCTTTTCGGGCAACACTGTATAAGCCTATGATATCCGACTCTCATTCTTTCACCATATCGATAATTAATTTCGTCATGAGATTTGAGGAACTATTCGGACGATGTAGACAGAGTGATGAACTCTCAGAATGGATGTTACTGTAAAGTACGTATTCTGATATTCTGAAGAAGAAAATAGTAATGATTGTGCTTCACAATTGGATACTGTATTTTTTTTCTATTTCGCTTTTTAGTGTCTCGTCTCGTTGGTACGATTCGTGGAGGTACGCTGCGTACGAGGGTACTGTACGTATAGTACTTACTATTGATACTGTATTCACTATGAGCTACGTTCCGTACGTATGGTACTGTAATCAGACGTGCAACAATTTATCTCTATGATTTTTCTCCCGTCCCCCACCCGTAGAGTACGTTACTACCGTAAGAGGAAGGAAGAAGGACAGACTGAATTTCTCGCTTTGGCACCGTMCGTTCTACCTGTACATCCTAGTACGTACCGGTACATCTAGCATCTAGACCACCATGCGACGACTTCCGGAAATCGCAAGGTAAACTCGAAAAATGTGGTCGYACCGTAGTCTGTATTCGTAATCTCCCAGTACCAGTACCATACTTACTGTAACGTACGTACCGTACTTTCCATGCTGCATTCCATGTGCTGAATGCCCTTTTACTGCTTTCTGGCTTTCGCAGTTTGTTTGACGGAATTATTCCCATGGGAATTTGTTGTACGATCACGTCTACCTACTAGAAGTACTAACTATTAATGATATCGTTCAGTACTACGGACTGTTCATTATTTTATTATTAGCTTTGTCAGTTGTAACTTATCAAGCATCGAGAAAACATTTGTGCTGTCCATAGACCACAAACTCTATATTTAGCATACAAGCCTTCCTTGAACAGCCATGACAAGGGGAGGAGATTCCCATCCCAATCTGAGGCAGCGCAAGCACTCGGATCCTTCTCCTCGTAAAAATGGAGAGACGGGACTGGAGGGGGACGAGATGAAACCACTGCTGACCAAACCGAAGGAAAAGTCATCAGTCGACACCTCTAAGACAGACGGATATGTGTTGATGCCTCTTCGGGAACGCTCCATCCTTGCTAGGTTGGATGTCGGGCCCTTTCTTTTGTGCTATGGGTTCTTGGTTTCGCTGGACTTGACGCGGGAGCAGCACGAGGACGAAACGAGCAACGAGACGAGTGCATTTTCTCTCGTTGCGTTTCCTCTGGTCTTGTTTGTGCATCTGGGACTGTTCTTGGTCCAGCAGTGGAGTGTTTCTTGGCGAGCAACAGTTGGATACCAGAGAGTAGACACCAGGCAGACGAGGGCTCCGTCGACACCGTCAAATACTTTATTGGGGTGGACGCATTGTCTAGTAACAGCTCCCCATGTCGACCAGCACCAGTCGTCTCACGATGCGGGAATCGTGCCGGTGGTGCATCGGATACGGAGAACTAGTGGCAGCGATAAAGATAATGAGGTTCTCGCGGTTGTCAACTTTCAAGATATAGTATTTCGATGCAATATAGTCGACGACACCGACGCAGACACTTCACTTTGGTCGAACGACGACACTAKCGACTCGGTAACCACGAGAACAACCGCTGATGGATTGTTTCACCGGCTAAAATACCCAATCAACCTCCCTCTGTCCTTTTACGATAAGTGGCGGGGTCACAAAACAATGGAACTTGTGCGAAAGGCACAGCAAACATACGGCACCAATACCACCCCCATCGACCTTCCTCCGTTCATAGATTTGCTCCAGGAACAAGTTGTGGCACCATTTTTTCTCTTTCAGATTCTGTGTGTGTTGTTGTGGAGTTTGGATGAGTACTGGTACTATGCTATGTTCACGTTCTTCGCTCTGTTGATGTTCGAGTCGACCGTGGCGTACAATCGGCTCAAGTCACTGGAGCGACTTCGATCGTACACGGTTCATTCCCACCGGCAGATTTGGGTACATCGACCAACGTATCCACCCCTAGGGAAAACCGGCTGGGTTCAAATTTCGGTTTCGGAAATCGTCCCAGGAGATATTGTGAGTTGCAAGCAAAGCACTCTGAGATCGTCTCCGAACCGCAGCGGTAGCGCTCTTGCTCAGAAACAACATCAATTGAATCAACTTCCAGCGGATATTTTGCTTCTTAACGGTGACGCTGTTGTAGATGAATCCCAAATCACGGGGGAATCCGTTCCACAACTCAAGGTTGCCCTCGAAAACAGCGGTGGTGGCACCGTCAAGACGAGTGCCACCGACGAAACACTCGACCTGCAAGAACACAAGCAGTTTATTCTCTTTGGTGGAACAACATTGTTGGTTAGTCACTCTGGAGCATCTCCGCATTCTACGATATCTGAACCTCCCGATCACGGAGCTATCGGGATGGTGCTGCGAACGGGCTTTGAAACCGCCCAAGGAAGCCTTCTGAGAACAATGGCCCATACACAGAAGTCCGTCGATGGAATTCATACTCGTGATACCTACGCCTTTATCCTGACGCTCTTGTGCATGGCTGTGGCTAGTGCGTATATGGTGTGGGAAGAAGGATCAAACGACCCGACCAGAAACAAGGTTAGTGCTTTGTTTCCTACCATGAATTCGAATTTTGTACAACAAAAGAGCTGACGGCCATTTTCCATGTTCATTTTTGCTTCTCTTTTCGACACCAACTGGCTGCTAGTTTCGACTTTTGCTTCATGTCGTGATCATAATAACAAGCGTTGTCCCCCCCGAACTACCTATGGAATTGAGTTTGGCCGTAACGAATAGTGTAGCAGAYTTGATACGGCGACGAATTTTCTGTACCGAGAACTTCCGAATTCCTTTGGCTGGACAAGTCAACATGTGCTGTTTTGATAAAACGGGAACTCTGACATCCGATGAGATGCAACTGACAGGTCTGAGATTGATAACCGAAAGCGGTGGGGAAAGGTCAAGAGGGGGCGATTCCGAAGGTTTATTTACAGATGTTCTAGAACCGAATGCAACGCTTCAGTGGTCAGCCCTGCGAATTATGACGGCGTGCCATTCTTTGGCCCCCAACGCGGGTTATCGGAGTCACAGCTCCGAGGACGATCGAATGAACTCTTTGATTGGCGATCCTTTGGAAAAGGCCATCTTGGAAAACACGGGATACAAAATGATACAGAGCAATGTTTTGAAGAAAAGCGATACAACTCCTGAAGACAGGCCTGATGCCATTCTCATTCTGCAGAGATTTGGTTTCAGTTCGAAATTGAAAAGAATGTCCGTATTGGCTCGGGAGTCGTCTAGCGATGATACCTGGGTGTTGACGAAGGGTGCACCCGAGACCGTGAAAACGTTTCTGCGGCCTGATTCCATACCAGAGAATTACGACGATATTTCTATGCATCACATGGGCATGGGGCAACGAGTGCTAGCAATGGCATACAAAAAGTTAACAGGAGAGGAAGCAAAGCAACCAATCAAAGAGATCAGTCGTGAGACTGTGGAATCTGATTTGGTTTTTGCTGGATTTTTGCTCATGCACTGCCCGATCAAACCAGATTCTAGTTCAATTATTTCCGAGTTGTGGAACAGTGGAAATGAAGTTGTTATGATTACAGGAGACGCGATTCTGACCGCAGCAGAAGTTGCACGACAGGTCGGTATAATCCGAAAGAAGAGCAAAACACATCCGCCGACATTGCAATTGAAATACATACCGGATGATAAGACCACAGCGACGAAAACTAGCTTTCGTCATGAATTCCACTTTGTGCCACTATCGACAAAAGCTCATGTGAGCAGCAACGAAAATCTAACTTTATCAACCACTAATGTGACTCACCTGAAGAAGATGGTAGCAGCAAATGAACTCGCATTATGCATTTCTGGTGATGCGCTTCAAAAACTTGTACTGAAAATCGTCCAGTATAGTTATGCCAATCATGAAGGAAATGGACGTGTCACAGATGAGAAGCAACTCTTGTTACATCCCGCTACACAAGATGTTCTTAAAGATATTGTTCCAATGTGTAATGTTTTTGCAAGATGCAATCCTCGCCAGAAGGAAGCTATCGTTGCTGCATTCAATCTCGGAGGTTTCACCACATTGATGTGCGGTGACGGCACGAATGATGTCGGTGCTCTTCGTAGAGCACATGTTGGTATCTCTATTATCAGTGCACCGGGAATTGAGGCAAAGCAACGTTCTGCTACGAAGGCCATATCTCAGATGAAGGCCGATCATGAGAAGGAGCGAAAGAAGAAGAGGGCGAAGAAGGGATCTCGGGCTCGAAATGTCTCCTCTTTAGAACAGTCACTCAGAGAGTTGCAGGAGGCACAACATGAGTTGGATCAGATAGAGCTTGGGGATGCCTCCATTGCCTCCCCTTTCACGTCCAGGATGGTTAGTATTAAGTGCTGCAAGGTTGTCTTGCAACAGGGAAGATGCACGCTGGTGACAATGCTCCAAATCTACAAAATTCTTGGAGTGAACTGTCTGGTGAATGCAATGGTTTTATCAAAGCTTTTTCTGCATGGAGTAAAGCAGGGCGATCGCCAGCTAACGATTCTCGGACTCTTTGTTGCAGGGCTTTTCTTTTTTGTCACAAGGGGAAAACCTTTGCCCAAGCTGTCAGAGAGGCATCCCCCAGATTCTGTACTAAGCACAGAAGCGTTGGTGTCTATCGCTTCACAGTTTGCTATTCATTACACAGCCATGATCATTGCAACTGAAGTTGCTCTCTCCTTCGTCGACCCGTTCGATCCTAGTWTGATACCTGACGGCCCATTCAATCCGAATACTTTGAACACCTGTACCTTTCTGATTAGTGTGCTGGCAACTATCAATACATTTGCAGTCAACTACAGAGGGGAGCCTTTCGTTGAGCCATTACGCGACAACAAAATGCTTTGGAGAAGTTTACAAGTGTGCTATACAATCCTAGCCGTATGCGCACTCGAAATTTTTCCTCCACTGAACGATCTTATGCAGCTTGCTGAATTCCCTGATACGGTAAATCCTGAATCGTTGGAGTGGATGAAGGAAAATTCCTTTTCTGATCAATCCACTGTTCCTCTAGTGCCAATTCATACCCAATTGGTTCAATCTATTGGTTTCAAGACTTTCATGATAGGCTTAATGGCATGCGATACTTTTTTGGTATTCGCTTCCGAGAAAATTATTTTGAAAGCTTTCGAAAGATGACGCATTTTCCTATGAGGGTCGGAACGAAATTGACAGAAGAAAGATTCCTTAGTTTTTAGGTAATGAATCCGTCTATCATTGTTGCATTTAGCTCGCAATTCGTTGCCATATCTACCAAGTACCTAGTACGTAGAAAGAATTACACTGTTCCTGATCTGATATTGAGCTACATTTTCTATATGAGATAACTACTTTTCGTATTCATTTTGGATGCCGACTTCCACAGCACGGCAATTTGCTGAAGACTTCCCATAATACAAAACAGATCGATGAGAAAAGATCGATCGGTTTACATGCATTACTGAAGAGCTGGGGCGGCCTGCGCCAACTTAGCTTGAATCTCTTGGTCGACTTTGCTTCCAGAAGCAGTGGCTGCAGTGAAGATTCGCTGCAGCTCAGCCTTTTGGGCCAACGCGTCAGGTTGACCCATTTGGATAAGTCCCAGCAGACAGTTGTAAATCGTTTCGTTTTCTGTCATATCCGTCTTCAACGGCAGTAGTCGCAACATTGCAGGTAGAACCTGAGGCATAGGAACACTAGCTGGTTGCGCCATAATCATGCGAGCAACGCAAGCAGCTGCGTTATCAACACATGCAGCGGTAGCATCTCCATTAGACGCATCCATGCCGAACAACGGTTCGAGTCCCTGTAGAATTTGTGGGTAGTCCCCGACAATGCTTTCCTTGAGGACTTCACAACAAACACCTGCGCAGAAAGCTGCGTTTCGCTTGACCTCTTCCGCTGGATCGCCAAGCCCGGCCAAGGTTGCGGGCAAAAAGACAGTTTTCCAGTGTTCGAATATGGTTCCTTCTAGCTCCTGAGCAACTTCACTGAGCCAACCGATAGCCATTGATCTATCACGTGCTGGTCGAGACGACTTCGCATATTCGCAAACTGCCGGCAAAAACTGAGGAAGATATTGCCCAAACTGGGCTCCCATTACTCGGCAAAAACCGCCGACCAAATCACAAGCTGCCTGTGTCACGACATCGTGATCATCATCGTCCTCAGGAGCTTCGCCAAGGAATTCTTCAGATGCTTGACAAGGGGAACTTTTGATCAGAATCGCATGTGCGGTGGTGAGACAATCGTTAGCGACTGGCAGAAGCGCGTGAGGTCCACAAAGTTCAATCACAGATTGAATTCCTTCGCATGCTTTAGCAACGGTATTGCTATCATCGTCCTTTGTGAGGCCCATCAATTCTCCCAAGACAGCCGTGACGAGTGCCTGTGTGTGCTGAGACAGAGGATTAGGGCACGTTGTGTCTCCCTTTGTCCACTGGATTTCTCCATTATGGTAAGCGGCAACGCTTGGCACAATCATGTTTGGCAGAGCATCAGCAACCTCGCACTTGATCAAAGGATGCCAATTGGTAGCAGCCTTTTGCAATACTTGAATGACACTTTCCAGAAAAGGAGCGAATGCAGCGCCTGTGTGCGAAGCCAACTCTCCGATGGCCGTGAGCGCTCCCTTCTTGACCTCCAAGAGCGCTGTTCGCACATGCAAAACATAGTTACCACCATCTTCATCTTCATCGTCCGAATCGTCAAGAGCTCCAAATTGGCCAGACTGAGGAGTAGTAAACAATAACGATTGTAAATCACGCTGGTCAGGAAAAAGTAAGACAACACAATCGCTTTCCAACAACGTTGCAAGCAATACACACATCTTTGCTTACCTTTTCTGCCTCTTCAGCAGGTTCAAGTGAGCCCTCATCTGTGCCAATTACTGAGACTAGGTGAGGTACCAATTCTGGCAGTGCCGGTGCGAATTCTTCTTTCATAACTTTCGACAAGTTTGCGAACACAGCATACGCGAATTCATGCAAATCTGTTGAGTCCCGCGTCAGGCCTTCGCAAGCACATTCCATGGTCACTTGGAAGTAAGGTCGGAAAGTTTCACGGCCCACAGCGATAGCCATATGTCCCATGCACTCCAAAGCTCGTCCTCGGAGGGAAAACAAATTTTCATCAGTCAAACCCATGTACTTGGTCATGAGGGTTGCTACACCACCAACATATGGCGTGAATTCCTCCTCGGCTGCGACGGCTGTAGCTGCCAATGCCGCCACTGCCATTTCTTGAACACTTCTTTTGTCTGAGCTTCCAAGCATGCCTGCCAATTTCTTTACCAAAGAATCAAGTAAAGGTCGGACAGCATCTGGTTCCAACCTTTCACAAAACATTTCTAACACGTAGCAAGAAGTTGCTTGAACAGCAACTGTTTTGTCATCAAGCAAGTTGAAAACAATTGGAAGGATTTGTTCGGAATATTCCAAGACAGCTGGTTGACAATGCTCAGAAATCTGACCAAGGCAGAAACAAGCACACTCCCGAACTTGGGAATCAGGGTCTTGCGCACACTTGAGAACATACGGCATAAGCTCACTCAAGTGATCCGATAGAGGCTCTTGGCATCCTTCGGCAATAACTCCCAAACTAGCAATTCCTGCCTTTCTGTGGTTTGCTTGCGGTGAGTTGAGTCTTTGAACACATCGTGACACAACCGGCTGGAAAATGTATTTTTTGGGGACTTCGCAAGCGAGCATATCAAGGGTGCCCTGTGCCATGGAAGTTTCTGTTGGACTATCGAGATCTCCGTCAAATTCGTCACCTCCATTTTCTAGATCCTCTCTCCAAGCCGGATTTGATTCGAACAGAGCACCCGCAGCCGAATCTGGCGAGTTCTCGATCAAAGTAAATAGAGTTTCCAAAATTTGGGATAGCATAGCTTCCTCCTTTCCAAACGTTTTTGGTTTTGCCTCGGCCATAGTTGCAATAACTAGTGCAGCGGAGTCACGCACTCCCATCTCCAGATCTTGTGTTTGAATGCATTGGAGAGTAAATCGAACAATTGGTTGCATATGAACGGTGACAGATTGAGATGGAGAGTATGCCAGATCATAGAGTACGTCAAGCACGACCGCCATGAGCTCATCGTCGTTCACATTTCGAGCCGCTACTTCTAGGATAGAAGGGATGAGACCAGCAAAAACATCAATCTCGGGCTCGTCTGCCAAGAAAGAGAGGAGCTGTCCAACAGCTTTGACCGCGGACTTTTGAACTTTAGCATCCTCTGTTGGTACTAATGCGTTCGCAAATAATCCTGCAATAGGCGCAAATTGGCTCTTCAAGTGCATACCAATTGTGTCAGTCATTTCTTGCAATAGACCGAACGCCATTTCCCGCGCATCTGGTTGTTGTTCGGCGCCCGCGGCAGCAATGAATTGGAAGAGTTCGGGCCAAGATGTTCCGCCTGCGGTGCATTCTAACTTTCCGAGAGACGCCGCAACACCAATCAATCCATTTCGCACGGATCTTTCTGGCTCCTGTGACAAGATGGTCAATATTTCTGCTTTGAGAGCAGTCCTTGTAGCAGCATCGAAGCTGTCGTAATGGCCGGGCAGTCGTTTGCGCAAAAGAATGCCTGCAACATGTCGGTTGGCAGGAGGCTGGATCGTCAGAAGCAGAAGGGTAAGCAATTGATCGAAGAAAGAAAGAAGTGTACATCGACTTTCGATTTTTTTCCAAGACACTATAATTATGCTTCGACCGAACAGAACGGCTTACCTGCGTATCTTTTGCCTTGAGAATTTCAACAAATGCAGGAACACAGCGATTGTCTTTCAAAATAGGCTTCAGGGCAACTTCAGCTTGACGAATTCCTTCCGTGTCTGGTTGAGTCAAGGCGGCCAAGAGAGCGGCCATTGACACGGCGTCTGCTGAAAGCGTAGTCATGTTGATTCCTTGGTATCAAAGTTGATCCGGTTGGTTACAGAAAAGTTGTGAAYTGTGGTGGGCCTTGCAGGTTTTTTTCGCTGCTTCTCAGAAATTTTGTTCGATCGAGAAGCAAAACAAACAATTTGTGGTGTTGGCGGTTGGCGCCGCACGGTAACGGTTATCGATTTAAGTTCAGATAGTCATTGGCAAGGAATGGCTGGAGGAGTTTGTCGTCTGTTCTTCGTCACGAAATCATTCATGAGGCGACACGAGTCGTGTATCAAAAGTTTGGGAACATGGTTGATTCCAATTTTTTCGAAATGTTTAGATTCCCAAAGTCTCTACCAGCCAGGAGTAATAGTAGTACAGTAAAGAAGTACCTCCTCCGTCCCAGACACATTTACTATTAAAACAATAAGCTCAATATTTGGGCAATTTAGATGGTTCCTTTTTTATTCTATTGGTTGTCTTAGTATTTCATGCTATTTTAATGTGTTATGCCTTTTCATATCAGCATACTTCTTCTTATCAAAAGCTGTCAAACAGAGCCCTTAAATCATGTCATTTTGAATTCACAGGATTAAAGGGTTTCAACGGTCATTTTGATATGCCGCTAGTTGCACATGTTAGTAGCAGTGTAGGTGTAGTATTTTACAAGGCTATTGTTGTTCAAATTGCTAAGGAGAACTTCTTTCTTGTATGGTGGTGGTCGTCATTTCTTCTTCGGCAGAGGTGCACCCCCGTACCATTGTCAACATATCGTTTCCTGTATTAATACACTATTTAGTAATTTCATGTCAAAAATCATTTTTATTCAAGTGCATGCTCATTTCTAGTCTCTTGCACTGAGTCTACATATTGTACACAGTCATATTTTATCAGAGGTTAAAGGAAAATATTGAAAAGTGTTTTGTAAATAAGGGGACTTTCAAACAGGGACAGCAAAATCAGAGCCAAGGTACAGTCATTGTGGGAAGGAGGAAGTAATTTGTCCTGTAATTCATTTTTCCATATGGCCTGATTTTTGTCCTGGGACTGGATTCCCTCTCCTCTGATAATTGTGATTGTTGATAATTACAAGAAAATATATTTCTACGTGTTGCAGATCAATTGAAACTACTTTTCACATGGCGTTCCCAATGTTAATTTAACATTCCAAATGATAGTAGCATAGGCTATGTAGTAGAAATGAGTACTGTGGTTTTTGCTTCAATTTAACATCCTGAATGCTCTACTACTTAACGACACCAGTCTGAAAGTTAGCAGGGGGGCTGTCCTCTTCTTCCTCTTTTTTAGATCCCTTCTTCCTTTTTTAGGCATGTACAAGGCTGAATGAAGAATGTGGATAATACTAGGATCTATGTAGGCCTCAATCACATTCTGTATGATCTTTATTGGGAGTTTTGTGGGAACTGAAATGTATGGCTCAAACACACCATCTGGGGTATCAAGAACACAAGGATTCTGCAATGACAGGTGCTTCAATTCCAAAACTTCGATGACTGGTCTCCCACTCTTTGTACACACATTGTCAGGGTGCAAGACTCCTCCACCAGCTTGATTACTGAGTTGTCTGCAGGCCACACAGATGCTTCTGGAGAGTAGCTTGTCGTTGGAAGCCCAAAAGGCCTGCACCTGGATCTTGGGCTTGGTTTTGAGCTTGTTCAACAAGATCTTCAATGAGTGGACCATAGTGTTTGGCATCCCACAGCTCTAGTATGCATGATTCCAGTAAGGCTCAAATATCTCTTGCTTGTTTGATGTTATGGGCTTTCTGTAGGATGACTGCTGTGAAAACCAGGGGCGTTTGGAATTCCAATGGCAAAGGCAAAGACCTTGCAATTGCTCAAAAAATCTTTAACGAAACATTTTGCCAATTCTTCCCTGAGGAACCAAGTACTGTTGTGGGGGTAGTTGAACAATATGCTTCCATCTGTGTTGCCAGAGGGCATCATTTGCAATGTTTCCTAAGAGGTGAGTACTTGGATTATCATGCAAGTGATCTCCATACTAGATCAAATCCAATTTTGAATCAGCTTCAGTGGGAACATAAGAGGGCAAATCTGCCCCAGCATCAGGAACAGGAAGCTCCAAAGGAGTAGTGGGGGGGGATGGGGGGGCTGGAAAAATTAGCAGCATTTGCGTCTGCAGGAGCTACAACTGGATTTACATCAACTACTTTTGGATTTACAGTGTCTATAGCATTAACTGCATTTGCTGTATGTGCTGCAAGCAGCAGATACTCCGCAATCACATTAGGATTTTCATTAGTAAAAGGAGCTTCATTCCACTGCTTGCATCAGAGGTGGCTGAGCCTGGATTGAGCACTTCCACACAGATTCAGGCACCTAGGTAGCTCTGGAGGAGCCCCACCAGCAGCATTAGYTGCATTTGCAGCATAAGCTGTGGATGCAGTAGCAGTGTCAGTTGTGCTAAATGCTGCAACATCTACAGCAGCACTTGCTGCTATGTTTGTCACAGTATTTGGTGCATCCATTGATTCAGCAGAGGTAACTAGTAGTATCCTCATTTAGAGCAGGATTTGGTGCATCTGAGGATGTCATACTTCCAGGGGAAATGGTCCCATGGGAAACTGCAGATGCTGCTGATGCAGCATCTACAAGAAGCAGAGCAGTATCCACATCTGTCTCCTCCAATAATGCACCTCCTTGGGGATTGCAAGAAGTCCTATCCACAGCAGCAGGGGAGGGACAGGACCTTTCTAGAAAAATGGTTCCCCAGGGGCCATTGGATGCAATGATTTGGTGATAGGCAGCAAAAATCCTCCTAGCACATGATTATTCTTGCATATAGCAAGGCAAGTGCAACTCACATGATAGTGGCTCCTCCCTGCTCTCAAATAGCTGCATCCTTTCACTCCCCTGCAGGGAGATGTGAGCACCTACTACTACTAGCTACTACTACTGTGTGGATACTAGTATGTGTTATGATCTTATAATCTGGAATGGGTCCAATTTTTTCCATATAACAACTAAACTGGCAATGGTCCTAGTACTAGCAATRTTTCTAGTAATAGTAATCTACCATCCTGATACCAGCAGTACTAGAAGTCAAGAAGATCAACAATACCTCCCATACACTTTGTTGTCATACATGGTGATACATTGGTGTTCTAGTACCTCCATACAATAAATCTTCCTTTTAAGTACTATGTGTTGTGTACCAATTGAAATCACATTACACAGGAGGGCATTCCAAGTGTTAGTACTAATACTAGTACTAATAGAATTAAGGAGGTTCCCAATGTTAACTCGACGTTCCCAATGTCCACAGACTTCTTCTTCTTTAGAACGTTTGGAATGCTAGTAGTAGTAGTAGTAGTAGTAGTAGTAGTAGTAGTAGTAGTAGTAGTAGTAGTAGTAGTAGTAGTAGTAGTAGTATCATAGTACTATCACAATAGGCCTACTACTAGCTAGTAGTATTTAAATTTTCATACTACTAACCTCCATTCTTCATTTGGTAGCACAGCCCCAGTATCCAAAAACAATAGTTTTGGTCTTGTTTCCTAAAAAAGAGAGTTGAATTCAAGCAAAATTGCAGTACGTTACTCATTTCTACTACACAAGGCCTACCGGTACGGTGTTTGCATTCCGAAACTGGGACGTGAGGTATTGACAATTTTACCACCCCAGGCATGCTACGAGGCAATGCTGTGGTCACGGGACTACAGCTTGCTCGCGCCCTGTAGAGAGTACATAGCCAGTAGGAATGTTGATTCCAACGGACCTGAAAATTTGAGAGGGGGCTACAAGAAATTAAAATGTATGAAAAATTTTCTGGTAGGAAAAACATGCTACCAGATTTTGACAATTAATGCTACCAGATGGTGACTAGAAATGCTACCATATGGTAGCAATTCTGGTAGAATTTTTTGTCCAAATCTGGTACTAGCATGTTTTTCCTACCAGAAAAAAATTCTACTATTACAAGGAGAGTCCCCGCATACACTGTATTGGGACTGTCGCCGGCAAGCCTCCTCCATTTACCAGGACTGTACTTTAGTAGGAGTATTAAGCAAGAACAGTAAGAGTTATATGTACTTGTACTCATAGTACGGTCAATGCTGCTGCTGCTGGATGGACAGCAAGCTCCTGTTAAACTCACTCTTTCAGAATAGCAGCAATAAGAAGTGACCATGGTAATTTGCTTTTTTCCAATAGGATTAAGACAATAAAGCTAACATTGGTCTATCAAACGTAGTAAACATCAATTCAGCGCTTGTATCCTGGTGGTGAACAGAGGAGGAGTAGAACTGTAGTTTCAATTGTTCTCCTCCTTGGTGTTGTTGACACACCCCAATGACACTGACAAAAGAAGACTTCAATCTAATAGTGCAAGAGGTCCTCTGTTGGCCAGAGCGTAGATCATGGAGCAATGAAAAGGACGGGAGGTTCAAATCATGTTTTGGAGCTTCAGCTGAAATAGTAGCAGACCTGTGGAATAGARTTATCAATCACGGACCAGTAGATGGCGCAGAAAGCCAAAGCATTTACTGTGGGCGCTTGTTTTCCTGAAGGTCTATTCAAGTGTGGTAGAGATCCACTGCTCTATCGTTGGATGGCCCTGTCCAAAGACTTATCAGAAGTGGTCTTGGTACGTTGTGGAGAGGATTGCACAGCTAAAGGATGACATAATTAGTCTTAACAATAGATATGATGGTTACAGTGGAGACATTCACACAAACTGTTTCATAAGTGTCAATGGAACAGACTGTCCTGTCTTTGAGCCTTATCCTTGGTCAAAGGAGATGTTTTCCCACAAGTTCAATGGATCAGCACTCAAGTATGAAGTAGCTGTTTGCTTGAAGACCGGATGGATCGTTTGGATCAATGGTCCGTTTGTTGGAAGTACTAATGATACAACAATATTCATTGAAGGATTAGGAACTCAAATACACACTGAAGAAGCTGTAGAGGCTGACAGTGGATACATCAAAGATCCTAGACTCAAGCGTCCTGAGATGGGATTATCTAGTTCATTCAGGAAGATGAAATCAAGTGCTTGAGCACAGCAGGAAGCAATAAATGGCAGATTGAAGCAATTTAATGTGCTCACTGTTCATTTTTGACATATGGCACCAAACAAGCAGACAATGATGGAACAGCATCAGCTGTGTTTCCATGCTATTGCTCTTGTAGKGCAGCTACAAAT